GCACATTTGCCGATACCCGAAAAGGGTATATTTGGCGCGGACAAACAACGCGTGCAGAAATGCGATGTTCAGTTTCTTACGCAAGGCACTGTAGTTGCTTGCGATCCAGGTTTGGATCGCTCACACAAGCCAATATCAGTGCCCGGCGTGGTTAAGGAACATGTCACGGCATAGGCTCCCTGCCCAATACCGTTACATCCTTTTCTCAGTTTCCCCACCTCATTCCAACATCCTGACCATCAGGAAGGGTATCCAAGATTCTCTAGCCCAAACATTTGGTATCACGCGCTCGGGAACACATGTGGACATACTATGGACCGCTGAGGATTTCTCAGAGGTCCTCATCCGCACGGACCCAGCGTGAGCTTTCATTTGGAGGAAGCGCCACTCCGTAGCCTGACCAACTTCCCGTAGGGAGTCACCGAGCGTACTAGCGGCGGTCGTGTCCTCAACCGCGTCGCCCAGGCTTTCCGTGATCAAGGAATCGGACTTCCTGCCCTGCCTTCTCTCACGCAGGACTCTCGTTTCTTTACGGGATGAGCCAACGCCCTCTCGATGATTGATGGAATGCCGCGATCACAAGTTCCTCCCACAGGCAGGCATGCGCTCCTATCCCCAGCGGTCTATGTACATTGTAAGATTCCTTGGCAGTCACCGACGGAGGTATTTACGGAATCCATGCTTTCCTCTATACAGGCCCTGCCCGAGTTACATACATACACCCGGGGACAATAAGGTCCCGATAACAAAGTGCTAATTTAGCTTTGAAAACCGGCCTAGCAGGTGGAAGCAATCTGTTATCCCGGCTTTCTTCCCGTGCCTGTCTGATTACCGGCTTCTGCTGCGCCTGTGTACCCTGATGCTTGCACCGTCCGCAATCCAGGAGTGCAGCCTGCAGCGTCGAAATGCATCTCGTCCCGTGACCGCCAGCCTGAGCTCAGCCGGAGGCGAGTTTGCTTGCTGCCCTGGTCCTCGAGAGATATCCCCGACTGCAGGAGAACGGAACCCACTGCCAGATGGGCATTCCATTGTGAGGGTATGTTACTTTATATCCACTCAAGACCTACATCCCTTAGGGCCTGCATCAATTTCATATGCACGTCATTTATGCTCAATCATTGCTCAAGACGAGCTTGCATGACTGTCCCTTTGTTGCCGGAGAGCTTACCAACCCTCCTTCCGAACACCAAGGATTGCCTTATGGCACCGTCCAAGTTGACTCTCAGTGACCGGCGTCGTCACGGTTGAGACCGTACTTGGAATATGGCTATATTGGCCACTGCCACCTAGTGCTGCCTTGGGGCGTTTGGATCTCCACGACGGAAGTCCGCATCGTCTGATTCCGGTGATCTTGTACAATGCTAGCGCGTCTGCTCCCATCTCGCTGATCGTTCGGCTAAGACGTGTCCAAACCCGAGGCCCGTCGTACTGGATCGCCGACGGCACCTGCGCGGATTTGGGTAGAGTGGAACCGAAGAATGAGAAACATTGGAACGACCAATCCTGGTAGTCTCTTGAGTTACCACGACATCTTCTACAACAGCAGTACATGACATTATCTCCGGAAACACGTCCAATCGAACGAGCGCATATAACCACCTACCGCGACCGCGCTCTCCTCACCACCTCGTAAGGTTATGCTATAGTAAGCTATGCAGATCCGAGGCGGCCTTTGGCATACTCGACAAAGTCATCAATCGTCGAAGGCCAGGCAGCTGAAAGATGAGAAAGGCAACATTAACATGATTGCCACATCCACCCGGCAGATCCAGAACCGCGGCGCACCTTCTGCATCGTACTTCTCGAACTTGGCGTCGATCGTGCGCACGAAGTCTAGAAACTAGACGCGCCAGTGCTCCGTCAATACAAATGGCTCGCGGCGCACGGAAATAGAAGCTGTCAGCGCACCATCATCCATGTATCTTTGCTGACGCCCTTTCCGGCCTTCTCGTTCAGGAAGTCGAACCACCATTGGGTGTGCTCTTCTTGCCAGCCTTCCTCGGATCCCATGTCAACGTCGTCATCGGTGTCCTTCGAAGGGATGTGCGCTAGCGCCCCGCCCCGCAAGCCATGCGGGAGGAGCAGTCCCCAGAACGCCTGCGCGGTCTCGACACCTGCGCCACTCATTAGAACTTTCCGGGTATCATGAAGACGCGGGCAAGCTTACTGAGAACCCGCGCGCCCTCGGGCTTCGCGAAGTCGAAGGTATGCGAGTAGACCTGTTGGAAGTACTGCGGGTCCGATCCAAGTTTGTCCCGCAGCCGCTGCAATGCGGTCTTCATGTTCGGGATCGTATCAGCTCTGCACTCCACCACCATCAGAGACTACACTAGCAATGTGACATGTTATGATCTGCTCACCCGAGAGTCTTCCATCCCTCGACCCAGCCTTGCCTATTCCACTCGCCGACTCGCGGTGACTTCAGTTCGTAGGCGACGGCAAGGAGAACCACATCCTCCGGATCGACACCAAGGTCTTCACAGAGCTTGATAGTTCCCTCAACCGCAATGTACTCCCCGTCCGGATCTACCCGAGTCGGTTCGACGTTAGCGCGGAGACGAGCGGGGGTTACACTAAGCCCGAGCAAGACGTACCCTTGTACTGGTTGAACAGGTCATTCAGCTTGCTAGTGGACGCCCCGCTCTGGAACTGCGTCCGCGACGCTGGGTCGTTGTAATACGCATTGATAGCGACCTCGACGTGCTTGTACTTCTCGATCAGCCGCTTCGCGTCTCTTGACCTGGTAATAGGAGTTCAAATCGAGCGGTCAGCGGGCATGCTCAGGAGGCCATACTCCTTCATTCAGATGTATCACACGAGCAAGGGGTCCACACGGAAGCAGCCTACTCACGAAGATCCGGTCACTCCGACAAACTGCGAGATCTTCTCCTCCATCTGCTTATCGACTTTGCCTTTGCTCGATCTCGACTACGGCACATCCATTCATTCCATTTCATTTGGCGCGGACCAGGTTCATTACGGATCAAGGGTGTGAGGGAGCGATCGTTCAATAGGTGCTGCCAACTACGGTATGCATCGAGCAACTGACCATGGTATACGCGCGATACAATACAAGAACTAGAATGGAACTGAGGATACAGACTAGGGCCGTGACAGTAGGCAAGAAGGACGGCAGGGATGAAGGCACTCTCGGTTTCGCCAGTGTAAGTCGCGTCTGAGCCTGACGGTCTGCGATAATCGTCACAGCGGGGTGCCGGCGTGCCGTACCCTCTTCGGCATCTGCCATGCCTGTGTCCGATGTGCCGATTCGGACACTTTTGATGCCGCTCTTGTGGCTCGGGCGGGCTCGAGCCTTGAGCAAACGGACGAATCGTGCAGATATTGAGGCGTACTTCTGGATATAGGAAGATTCCAACCGCTTCATTACACCGAATCTGTGGCGAGAAAAAAATGCATGACTGGCATGTGGGGTCTCGCTGAGATATGTATCAGCGGCCGGAAAGAAGCCGTCGTACATTGTTGTATGCTTACTCCAACGCACTGTATACGGTGGAAAGCCTTCATCGGGCCACATATCCGAGGACTACATATTAGCCCAACTTCCCAGCAGCAGTGCGCCTTTACCAAGCGCAGCGCCGGAGCATTTTATTGGTAGGCATCCGAGGGCTATCATGCACGCGAATTTTGCAAATGGAGTCCCCCCCTCTACATGGGCACTTACCATGACTAGAAAGTAGACAAGGGATTGTAAGGGCTTACGGCGATGAGCAGATACGTCCTGAACGCGCTCTCTGGATATTGTGGCGACTTATGAACAGGTACACACGTGAGCCTGGATCTCACGCCACCGCGTCTCAATCTCCATCGGTTCAAATAGCCAGCCATCTCTCAGGCTCTCTGGACTCTGCAACAACAACACTACAAGCAGATATCTCACCGATTCGCTCTATATTCAACCTGCTCTAGCCGGGATGCCGAGGCCACGAACAAGCTCTGAAGCTGACTCAGCATTGACATCGCGGCGATTGACCTCGATTGACGCTTTCCCGCCCACGCCCACACTCATGATCACGCTCTGTGGTGACGAGACAGATCCTGGGACTCGCGCCCCTTCCCAAATCTCCGCATCTGCCGCATGACCCGCGACGAATGTTTCCGACATTGACGTCCAAGTTGGTTCCAGTACTTACTGGCAGCGAAAGGGCTCTTCGATCCCGTCAGCGTCGTTCCCGTCAGCGGAGGGCTGCGACTCGGCGTCTGCACAGGCTGATGTGATTAATGAACTGCCGGCAGTGTCGCTGTCTTGCATCTTATCTGCGACATCGGGCGGCGATGGCAGTACACGGGGAAGACGCCAGGCTGCATCACAACTGGCCTTTCAAGTTATGGCGTGAAACATGAAACATGTTGCCCGCAATCCGCCAACATACACGATCGAGCACTTGCACTATGCGTTTCCCCTTTCATCTCCAACCGCCGGGGGACCTGAAGGTTGACGTGGTACAGTAAGGGATCTGTATCAGATATGATGAGATGTCGCTCGTACACTGACAATAAACAGTGACAGATCGAATTGGCGTGTATGTATGTATGTCATGGGCATCAGGCGATCCGGCCTGTCGCGATCGTGTATTATATTCGCGCTGAGAAGGCGCTGTCCGGGTGAGTATCAGTGTCACGCATTGGCATCCGGCAACCACGGTATCTGATATGATACGGACACGACGACATGGACGTGACTACGCCACCTCTCGTATTGCATTACATTGCGTTCCCGTGCCAGTCGCCCGTGAGAGGCGTAACTCTCTTCCTCCCATGCGTCATGGGTGGGCTGTGGGTGCCTTACCGCGGTGCGAGACCCGGATTTCCTTGGGGACCGTACCCAGTCAAGTGCACTCGGATACTCCCGTTCATGAACTCGATCTATGAATCACTGCAAGGTTATAGTCTCCCTTCGCTGTATGAATGCGCCCATACGCGCGTGCTTTCCATTATGGATTCGACTGCTGGATTTCTACTACCTTCCATTCCCTTAGGGCGCAAATGACTCATTCATATCGGATCCTAGCAGCAATACATTCATCTCCACTCCCCAGGTGCGTCGCCCTAAGGCCGCCTACTAGCTCGCACGGTCCATCTCCCTTCCTAGCAGCTGTCCATGCCCATAACTGTGATCACTGCCATCCGGCGGCGGTGTACGCGTCGAAAAGCTCGGGCGGGTACCTTCCGGTTCCCCCGAATGCCCTATCACCGCGAGTCCCTGCTAGCATGCATGTACTTAGCACAAAAGAAAGCTAAAGCGGCCGAACCATCGCGGTAAGCGCTCTGCGTTAGGTCCATTGCTTTGATGATATGATGATCATGTGGGATGGGACTACGCTCGAGCGGCAGCGTCGGTAAATGAGTTGATGGTGGCCCTGACTTGTCTTACAGCAATCCCATCGTCTCCTTATCGCCACGTCGTGGAATCTGCTGGTATCGCAGGGTCAGTCGGTTCCTGCCTCTCTTCATCACAGCATCGCGGGCCGGTTCATTGCATTCGTGCCTGCGAGCTGAGCCATGCCGGCAACTATCACAATGATCCCGTCCGACTGATCCTGTCGGACTCCCATGAGTGCTTTGTTCGCAACAGTCCAGGCCTGAAGCTAAGCTATTAATTAAGCTAGTGCACCCCGCAAGGAAAGCAGTCTATATCCCGGGCAATGCCTATGCAGAGGTAGTAATTACCGAGCAGATCCGCGACACTCAGCGCCGCATCAGGTACGCAGCGCACCCGTCAAAAGCAGGCAGAGCGAGCGAATGCGGAAGTATATCTGCTCGCGGGATCTTCCCCCGGGCTTTTTGC